ATAGATAGATAGATAGATAGATAGATAGATAGATAGATAGATTATGGATAGCTAATGTAATCCTTCTGTGTATTCTACCTCATGAATATAAAATTGCTAAGCTGTAAAATCTACAAGTGTGAAGGATAAATTTCATGTAAAACTGACACTTTCAACTTTATAAATATGCACCCTCAAAATCAGCATGAGTTTTTGAAAAAGTCAAATGGTAAAGAACTAAAAGTAAATGAATTTCCTTTTAGATTTTTTTATATTGTTATCATAAAAATATGTTTGGGGTAAAATCCTGACAGTTTCTCAATTCATATACCTTAATTATGAATGTAACAAGGTTACAAGAATACAGATAGGAAGAGAGAACTTGAATTAAGATATTTATACAATGCTGAAAATGAAATGCATTAAACCTTTAATATTATATTTGTTTGAGAACTTGCTGTAGATTGATCATAGTATGCCAAGTAAAACCCAGTTTGATAGACAAGGCAGTAATACTTCTTTGTAATCAGATAATCTTGGTCTTACCAGCCACACTAAAAGTAGGATCTAATTATAAACTGGTTGCTTAGACCTTGGCACATTTTCACTAGAAAATCACATACCAGGCACATATCATATGCAACCTTCCATAGCCACTTACAATATTGTTTCTAGAGAACAACTCATTCTGAGTCTGCTATGTCTCTGCTCCTGAGACTTAGGACTTCCCAGTAGCATTGCTTTCTATGCAGCTTGATATTTCCTCCTCATTCACTCCTGCACCAACTCTACCAAAGCCGTGAGGATCTTGGAATGGCTTTGACTAGATGGTTCCTGAACATTGGGCATCCCCAGAAGTGGCAGGGAAGGAATGTGAAACCTTGAAGCCAGGATAAATAGTATGGAGAGGAGAAAAGGGGGGGCTGGAAAGTTTTACCACACACATAGGGAGCTTCAGCAAGGCAGATGTTCTTTGTAAGAAATGGGCATAAGGATAGATTAAGTCTGCCATTGTCCCAATTATGAACAATTGAGGGATGTAAGTGGTACATTTACAAGTAATCGTGATGTTATTGTTTCATTTTTTCTGTATACTTTAAATTTCTTAGTTAGAAACTAACACACACACAAAGTTGGACATTGGGCATGTGTGTAACTCAATAAAATAATATACATTTTTCCAACTAAACCTTGA